GTAGTAGTAATTTAAACATTTTAAGTTAGCAAATTGGTTAGAACAAAACAAAGTCCAATTGACTATATAACTCAAATGGTTTGGTATTGCTTCTAGTTCTCATTAAAGTTAACACAAAAATATAATTATTTAAATAATTAACTCACAACTCATTAGGTTTGAGTTCTGCCAAATATAATCAGTTTATAGGTTCCCATAACACAGTTTCATTAAGTCAAAGTAATTTTTTTTTCAATTATGAGTTAAACTAACTTATTTCATTTAGTGATTTTCACTGTTAGGTTTTACCGTGTAATAGTAGTAATAATGGTCTCACTTATTGATAACGGACACAATTATTGATAAAGCATAAACTGTGACTCTTTATCTCAATAAACATATTTACTGCTTATTAACAGTAAGTAATGTAGTAGTTGTGTTTTTAACAGCTTTAAATGCAAACCATTCAGAATCAAGAGTCGGAACTATCCATTTCATTTATTTTTCTTTGGTTGCCCTTTTCACTTGCAGTGTCTTGCCTTAAAAGAAAGCCTCCTAGTAACCGCCGACACCCTAGCAACACCAAAAGCACCCTAGCAACTGTAAAGCACACTGAAGACCATTAGACTTGTCTAGTAAAAGTGAAAGCTTTTTCACAGTAAAACCTTCATGCTTGATAAATTCTTGATAAATACAATCTTAAGTGCATTCGTGATGAAACAAAGGTTGTTGTTTGTAGACTGTTGAAGTCACTGTGATTATCATTACAGTTTATACACGTTATTTTCATTTGTGCTCTATTGCTCTTTTGTTTTCATCATATGTTGCATGTTTTACACTTTTAATTTAAAAAGAAGGATGAAGAAGAAGAAACTCCTCGAGTCTGCTGAGATAATGGTTCTCACTTGCTGAAATGTTGTCTCCTTTACAGATTCCCCTGCTTTATTTTTCAAAAGAGTGCCATTAAAGTGTCCCTGGAGTTTGTGTTGCTAATCAGAGAACGTCCTCACAGGGGCACTGCAGTACATGTGTATGAGCACAAGTATTGCACATTTTAAACAGTGGAGACCTGGCTCTGTGTGCAACTTTTTTGTAGCACACTCAAAAATAAAGAATTAAAAAAAACTGTCATTGGGATGGTACCTTTTTAAAAAAGGTGCACTTTTGTACTTTTTGGAATCTAATTTGTATTTTTAAGGTATCAATGTGGACCCTTTAGATACAAACTGTAGGTACCATTCCAATGGAGTACTAGTATTAATAGGACGTTAAGTTTCAATTGAAAGCAAGGTTAATTAACTTATGTCTGATGGGAAATATTATATTTGTCATCAAGGGAAAAACTGAACCCAAAGTGCATGCAGAAGTCAGTGAAGCTGGGGGTGAAGTATTACGGATTAGTGCTAATATAAAGCTGTCACAAAAATGATGCAAATCTTTATAAGAAGCTCTTTTAAAAACTTTAAGTTCCTGCCTTGCATTCATTACCTCATCAGCCAGCAAATTTTCATAGAGGACAACGAGCCCTGTTACACAGGAAAACAGAAAAAGCAGTCAATACACTACAATATTGGAATGACACGCTGGAGTCCTGAGCTAAACCTGATTGAAAATCTATGGAAAGTCCCTAGTGATAAAGTTATGTCTAAGAAACTCTAATGTCAGTGACAAATGTGACAAAAAAAAACAAAACATTTTTGACAATAAATGAATGACAAACTTCCAATTTGTGCAAAATAGAACTTTCATTGAATGAACAAAAATACAGTACAACAACAAAACTCAACAGCTTACTTACATCATAAGCAAAAGTTACTTGATTATCGCTAATGTTGCTGCTGCCACATTACATGCTACTCAGTCATACTCAGTCTTACAATCTTTTTATATAAATACTGATTAAAGTTAAAATTCCATTCCATGAGACGTAACCTTTTGCTGTTAAATGCATGCAGATGTTAACAATTTCTTAATTGTTACACAAATGTGAAGTATTGTTAACCAGATTCAGCTTTATATTTTAACGTATACCTCAAAGTCTATCCTTACATCACTCTGTGATGTACAGTAGAAACAAAGCATGTTGATTATAAAATAATCAAATGAAGATGTGAAAAATGGTCACATCGCACAACTGGGTCGGTCTGCAAAATGATTTGAGCTGATTCATGGAAAAATTTCATCCTCGATAAGGTTTTCCAGCTCCCCTTCTCTGCTCCCGTTACTGTTACTGTTACTCCCTCTGCTGTTGGAGACACACACCAGCAAAATATGAAGATAGACGCAAACACAAAACTGGTGGTTTATGAGGACTCCCCATAGGCCTATATTTAACACTGTAAAAGCTGCTTATTATATGACCTTAACCCACCTTTAGCCCTAAACCCAATCCTCAGAGGAAACATTTTGAAAGATTATTTTTAAGCATTTTGAATTATGAGGACACAGGACATGTCCTCATAAACCCCATCAACATTATGCACGTCATTATAAAAACATGTCCTCACAAACCACTAAAACCAGTATACACACATACGTACAGCTATCTTTACAGGGATTGCTAAAGTGGTAATGATTTTTATACCAGACAGAGTGTATTTTCTATCCACTACACTAATCTGCACTTTCACATTTTCAAAATACTAAATTCAGGATGATTTATGAGTCATTTTCCTCATGTGACCAAAAATATGTCCCCACAAGTATAACAATACCTGTAAATCTTTATCTTGTGGGGACATTATTTTGGTCACCATGAGGAAAAAAGCTCATAAATCATCCAGAATTTGAACAACACGTGATGGACACATGTGTATATGTAACCCCGCCGGTCCTATGCCACTCAACCCGCTTTGAGCTGGTATTGAACCGGTGACCTTCCGCATGGAAGTCAGTTGCTCTACCAAGGAGGCTAAAGACCATGACCTCTAGCAGCTGTCGCTAGAGCACCTTTAGAGGTCAGAGGAGTGAGGTTTACCTGCACAGCACACACTAGCTGGCCTCCGTTGCATACACACACACTATGACCATTCATTCATTTTCTTGTCGTTTTAGTCCCATTATTAATCTGGGGTCGCCACAGCCGAATGAACCACCAACTTATCCAGCATGTTTTTTTACGCAGCGGATGGCCTTCCAGCCACAACCCATCTCTGGGAAACATCCACACATACATACACACTCACACACTACGGACAATTTAGCCTACCCAATTCACCTGTACCGCATGTCTTTGGACTGTGGGGAAAAACCAAAGTACCCAGAGGAAACCCACGCGAAAGCAGGGAGAACATGCAAACTCCACACAGAAACGCCAACTGAGCCGAGGATTAAACCAGCGACCCAGCGACCTTCTTGCTGTAAGGCGAACATGCTACCCACTGCGCTACTGCGTCGCCCACACTATGACCAGCAGTTTTCAATTAAATATATACTAGTAAAAATACTAGCTATTTTAATCCAATTGCATTTTTAATTACATCATGATATTCGTCATTAGAACTAGTACTCATTTCATTACCGCCTGTTTACTAGTCTGGGCGGCGTGGTGGCTCAGTGGTTAGCACTGTCACCTCACAGCAAAAAGGTTGCTGGTTCGAGCCCCAGTTGGCCTTTCTGTGTGGAGTTTGCTTGTTCTTCGAGTGTTCGCGTGGATTTCCTCTGGGTGCTCTGGTTTCCCCCAAAGTCCAAAGACATGCGGTACAGATAATATGAATAAGCTAAATAGGCCGTAGTGTATGAGTTTGAATATGTATGGGTGTTTTCCAGTACTGGGTAGTGGCTAGAAGGGCATCCGTGGCTGGAAGGGCATCTGTGTAAAACATATGCTGGATAAGTTGGCGGTTCATTCCGCTGTGGTGACCTCTGATAAATAATGAATGAATGAATTGTTACTAGTCTATTGTTACTTACAACGGTTTTGAGATGTTTGTGATTGACCTCTATGGAGATCTGTCAAAACCTATTCAGTTTGGACTAGTATGTATTCCCTTTGTAACAAGCAATATTTGCTATACTAATAGTTCTTAACAAGGTATTACTTCTTATTTATATACTAGTACTTATTTATGCCTATTAAGCACATTCTAGTAGATATTTATTAGGTACTATGGTAGTACTTATTATTAGACACTAATATCTTTTGTTATGACTCAGAATTACCACAGTAAAATTTTAGTAAAACATTTACTAGTTACATTTAGTTTTAATACTTGTATCTAATAAATGTGTACTAGTAATGCTAATGATCAATAATGACCAGTATCTAATAAATGAATACCAGTATATAAACTAGTATCCATTTAACACACATGAGCATCTCTAGTACTGGTACTAATTGTCATGGTTTTGCAGGAAAGTACGAGGAGATATCGGCAAGAACAAAATCACAGCGTTTAATCAGATAGAAGCATATATACACACATCCAGGGAACAGGGACACAAAGACAGTGAATACAGGATAATGAATGGAGGAAACACTGGGGCTTAAATAACACAGACTGACAATGAACTAAATCAGAATTTCAATTAAATAAAAACAAAATGGCGGGAAAAAGGAACAGAAAAATCACATGACCAAAACAAACACATAATATAGAGTCTATAACAATCCAGACACTAATAATAGGTACTAGTATCTACAACATAAGTACTAGTACCAAATTAATGATTAGTTTATAAAATTGGTACTGTTTACAAATGTGAGACTTATCTCAAAGACAGATAACGATCAAAGTTGATAACAATAATGTGAAAACTGTTACTAGCAACAATACTAGTACTAACAAAATGAAAATAGATACTGGTATATAGTATCTATTTTAGATTAAATGCTAAACTGGCTTGCCATACACATTCACGTACACCTACACAAACATACAGTCTGAAAAACTACAACAGATTATCACGGCTGTATCATGTGATACCTTAAAGGGCGAAACAGTGACATATCCCTGCAGGAGTGATTGAGAGAAATAAAAGCAGTCTCAGATAGGTATTTTATATTGAGTGTATAATACAGTAGATGTCGTGATGTGTGCGTGAGTTGTGTGCTTACACAGTCAGGCCTCCAGGAGCAGACATGGATCTGCCCTGCCGGCCACTCGGACACTCGAAGGGGTTACTGAAAGAGCGCTTACGCAGCATCGATTTCACCAGAATCTGAAAAAAAGAGGAGTGAAATAAGTGAAATGCACAGTTAAATGAGACATTAATTTAATTTAATTTAATTTAATTTAATTTAATTTAATTTAATTTAATTTAATTTAATTTAATTTAATTTAATTTAATTTAATTTAATTTAATTTAGACTTGAGTACTCACCACAGCAGACAGGCTGGGCACTAGTTTGACAGAGTTCTGCACCTCCTCCTCGGTGACCTCCACCACAGTGCAGTGATCCTCCTCCAGTGGAAGCAGATCAGTGCCGTCCACCGTGACCCATGGGTGAAGCTGAAACACACACACCCACATTACACAGCGTCTAAGGGACATACTTATGCAGGGGTGTCAAACCCAATTCCTGGAGGGCCGAAGCCCTGCACAGTTAAGTTCCAACCCTGCTCCAACACACTTACCTGTAGGTTTCAAACAAGCCTGAAGGACTCAATTAGTTTGATCAGGTGTGTTTAATTAGGGTTGGAACTAAACTGTGCAGAGCTGCGGCCCTTTTGGAACTGAGTTTGACACCTGTGCACTAATGCATTCACAGTACTGCTGAGTAATTGTATTGGTTGATTTGTGTGTGTGTGTGTGTGTGTCTATTTTTATTATGACAGGACAGTGTCTAGATAGGAATTGATTTTGGAGAGCCCACGAGTCTTGAACTTGAGACATCTGCTGTTCACTAGGCTATCGGCCCTTCTATGATAGTCTCACCTTTATCTCTGCTAACGTGATTCTAGTTTCAGGGACTTTATCCAGCATTCTGGTGATGAGGTCCTTCAGCTGCTCACTGATCTCAGGCCTGTGCAAATAAAACAAACACAAATACATGAGCTGGATTGACTGTGTGTGGTTAATGTGGAGCAAAACGGTGAAAAAAAAGAAAAAAAGTGAGATGCGTTGTGTGTGTGCTTTTTATGCATATTCATTAAGTGACATTACTTGACTATGATAAATATACAAACTTAAATCAAACTCTGTGTTGACTAAAAGGTATCCAGATCTGCAAACATAATACTAAGTGAATAGAAAAAATTTTTTTTTGGTTGATGCAATCTCTATTACATTTGTATAACTTATAGTTAATAAAATTTTCAATTAATTTCTCACAGCGATATCATGGGTTTGACTTATGAGAAATGCATGTGTTGTAAAAAGTGTAGTTTGAATGCAGTGTAAGTTGCATTGATCGAAAGTATCCGTCGAATGCATAGATGCAACAATAAAACTGTTAATCGGTTTCTGTCACTCACTTGTCTGGAAACTCCACTGACATACTCCTGATCTTCTCATGCAGGCCTAGGATGTAGTCGTCATGAAAAGGACACTGTATAAATGGAATATTAATTACACATTAAGACTAGATATATACACCAATGCTCTTAAGAGCGCATTAATGATTTATTACGTCAATGACTTACCTTTCCAAAGACAAAACAGAACAGAGTCACTCCCATTGCCCAAATATCTAGAGCCTGAAGATAATAAGAGATAATAATTTCAATATGACAAGAAACATTGCATCTGAAATCATCTTTTATATATTTCCCATTATAACGTGTGTGAAAAGCAGTGTGTAAAAGCCTGTATAAATGAACTTTGGATATGAAGATATCCATCTTTAGGTTGCTAGGGTAGTCTAAAATGGTTGCTGATGACTAGATTGTTAAAGGGGATATTTAAAGGTGCTGTTAGCTCATTTTTGACTCTTCTAAAATACTATATAATGCCTGCAGATATTTAAGAAACATGCTAAGTGAACATGTTTTTTTTTATCTGAAAAACAATGCTAAAGGAGTATTTCTCCTCTGAAAATGTGCATTCCATGTCGCAAGGTCTGTTTTCGTATTGGTCTCTTTAACACCCACCCACTGCTAGTTTATCCAACTATATTTCAGTAACCTGGGTTGCTTTGATGGAAAATGCAGAGTATTTCATTTCAGTCTTGAAGGTTGCATCAATATATGCAGGCGTAGCTAAAAATGTCCCCCCTGAAGGACTATATAGCCTCCAAAATCAGGCATGGATTCATGAGGTGTTTTTCATTTTTTGCAAACAATACAAGTATTACAAACATAAATATTAGCTTATCAGCTTAAATCGTTAGGCACTCTCGTTTCTGTTGTTTTCCTCAATCTGGCAACCTGCATGTATGTCAATTTCGGAGGTCTCAGGTGAAAAAAATCATCTTCAATGTTTTGAAGTTAGACTGCAATACCTAGTTCAACCATTAGGTTGTCAGTCCTACATATACTGCACATTTAAAGAGTTATTGTCAGTCTGAGTCCAAACAACTCACCTTCATGTCTCTACAATATTCTGATCAAGAAATTATCATATAGCACTCTTTTACAATGGAAGTCTATTGGGGCAGTTGCTAGGGTGCTGTAACTAAGGTGAAGATTTAGCATTTTTTCGGCTGTTCTCTGAGCAAAATGAGTCCAGCCCCAAGTATAGGTGATCATTAACATCCATGGAAAAAATCTGCGTTCTGAATGATTTTGACATATTGAGCTTCAAAGTTTTGGCAGTCCATATAGCAAACAATATGTGTGTAACAGTTCTCTTTCATACATTAACATGACAGAGACCCTAAATGTACACCAAATGTAATTTTTAAAAATTCTCTTACATTTGCAAATTGGGCTAAAACAAACAGGGCCAATGCAGATAGAACCTTCTAATCTTAAAAAGTCATCTTCCGCTTAGAATTATAAGGTTCTATATGGCAGATCATTCATTTAAGCTTTACTTCTCAACAAATACAATGAAAAAAAATATGAATTGACATTGTAACAATATGGTGATGCTTGAGAAAGTTATACATTTTTGCTTTTTATAACATTTAATAAATGTTTTAGGATGAATATTAGTGCTAAATAATGTATCCAGTGAAGCTGTTAATTTTATGAAATCAATATGGTCATATTTATACATTTTTATGCTTTATATTAACTTTTGAGTTATGTTTATTGAATTTTATGCTTTACATGAATGTTTGAATTATATATATTGATTTATATGCCCCATCAATTAAATTAAGTTTTTGCCCTTCAAGGCTTAATTTTAAAAGAAAACAGACGATGAGCAAATTTGTTTCATAAACACAGAAAAATGTTTTACTAACCATATAAACACACACAAAGATATATTTTACATTTAATGTATTACTTTTTTTAATAACTGTTTCTTTTTCAACAATGTAAAATGTAATGTTTCACATGTTTTCAGGTTTGTTTCAATTTTGTGTAGCGCATCATTATTTAATAAATGACTTTGTGTTTCTTTCTGCTGTCAATGGTGCAATCTGACAAAATGACACAGTAAGAACCTTTTAGAGCCAAGCTAGAGTTCGACTTTTTAGATAAAAGCCTTTTTGTTTTTTTAAACAATGTAAACAACTTAAATGACATCTTATTTACATTATGTGATGTTTTCTATATATATTTAAGAATATGTAACTCAGTTTTGACAAAAATGTCAGATAGAACCTTATAATTTTAAGGTGACGATATATATATTGTTCAACAGAAGAAAGACTCTTAAATAGTTAAAAAAAATAGCAAGTGGAGGACGAGAAAATTGTTGGGTGAACTTTCCCTTTAAGAAGCAGATATGTCCCCCTTCAACATTAAGATGTGGAGTGTGAGCTCAAAAATCTGGTCCACTGTCAAGTGAACGGGACTTTTTCAAAAGTCAGTTTTCAAAAGTCAGGAGTCAGTTTTCAAAAAAGTGTAAATAAAATCTGTTAGAAAATACCCTATTGGCACCTATTCATCTAAAAGCTTCAACTGCACATTAATAACACTGGCGTCAAAAACAAAAGTAAAAGAATTGATTACAGGACTGCACTGTAATTGAGTGTTGATGTTTTTTGTTTTTTTTACATCAATGTTAGATGTCAATTTGATGTCGTTATAAAGTCAAGGTGCTTAACTGACATACTTTTTTGTGTTTTTCATGCTTGAAAGCCAACATAACAACTCTTCTTACCTTTCCACTGAATCTTTGGTCCTGATCCGTCAGTGTTTCAGGTGCCATGAAAGCTGGTGTTCCTGCACTGTTCGACAGGAGTGCGTCGTTCCCCTCAAACTCATTGCTGACCCCAAAATCTGCAATCTTGACGTGCCCGTCATCACCCAGCAAGAGGTTTGATGGTTTGATGTCTCTATGTATGATTTTCTGATAGTGCACTACGAATAAAACATGAACAAAAAACTTAATCTCATGAAGTTTATTAATGAGAATTAAAACACACAAAAAATCCTAGACAGGACAGACTTACAGTATTCGATTCCTAGAATGATGTCTCTGAAGTACAAATGGGCCATTTCTTCTGATAGAGGGCTGTCTGTCGGGACCTCCATCACTGGGCTAGAACCAGGCAGGAGAAGAAGTAAAAAATACAGAAAATCTAAACTAAAAAAAATGTGTGTGACTGTGATCTATAGGTACATATACTTACCCTTTAGGTACCAACTCAAACACTATGAAAAGAATACAGAATTAACAGAATAAAATAGATCATTAAGTAAAAAGCAAAGTGTTTGATATCATAGGGTGAAATCTAAATATGGCAAGTTGTTTTTACATTAAACATCTTAGCTATGAGACATACTGGTAACCATTTTCATGCCACTAGTATTTTTTTAACATATTAGTATTGTTGTATATTTAATAGCTGTTAGCACTAATTCTTTAGGTACTAGTACCTTTCTAGTACTTATTCATTAGATATTGGTCCTTATTATTAGATAGTAGGGGTTACACCGACTAGTCGACTAATTGTGTAGTTGACTTTAATGCTCTGCCGTGACGCTTTTTGATCGACATCGACTAGTCATGCTGCACAGATCACATGTTTTTTGGCCTGAGCTATATGGCAGCTTTTAAAAATAAGTCATAGGTTATGTTACCTTGTTTTTGCAACGTGTTATGAGCTGCCAAATAGCATGTGTATATATTTCCTGCAAATAAATTGCAAATTGCAAATTGCAAAATGTTGCAAAACATTGGTATCTTAGCGACTAGTTGACGTCAACTCAACTTTGATAACATAAAAGTCGACTTCCAAAAATCTAGTCGTTCAACCCCTATTAGATAGTAGTACTTTAATTAAATTCAAGAATTTGTACATTAAATAGTATTTCTTATTCATTAGATACAAGTACTCATTTCAATAGATCATTGAAGATAATATTGTTACTAACAAATTTTAGTCATTGACTTCAATGAGAATCTATGCTTGAGATATCAACTATTCAATTGGATTACGATTACGACATGTACATACTAAAAGTTTTTTAATAGGCACTTCTTTTTATTTTTATTATTAAATACTAGTACTTGATCATTATATACTTATACTTAGATACCAACACCAATTTGGCATGATTTGATTTAGTGGCTAAACTGTTTGACTTTGTACAATCTCATTAGTACTTTTAAGTGCAATTTGCTCATCCCCCAATGACGGTTGGGTTTAGTGGTTGGGTTTGGTGCAATGCCTCCTTTTACAAATCGTACATTTTCGTACGGCTGAGTTCATATGAATTTGTGCGAATTAGCCACTAAAGTGACAATACATAAAATAGCTACGTTTCATGGTGAGATCAGGCTGTAGATACTCAAATCAATAACAATGCTAGTTATAATCTCATACAAGAACTTGTACATTAGCTACTCATACTTAATAAACAGGCATTCATAGTTATGTTATGACTAGTCAGAACTACGGGAGCCAATAAAGCTCAAACGTGCTGCAAGTTAAGAAATCACACACAAACTGATTATCTGGTGAGCATTTGCAGTAAGTTCCCCTATTTGTATGTGTTGTTGTATGCATGTTGTCAAACTGATAAAGATGTTTTCTTAATTTGTAAGCGTTTTTCTATTTGCATGTGTTTTCTTAACTTGTGTTGTGTTTGAGCTTTCTCAGCCACTGTATAAAATGACCATATTTCAAAAAAATTCATAAAATGATATAAAATAATAATTTAATAATAAGAACCAGTGCCTATTAATTGTTGTTTGCTAGTTTCAGCGTAGCGCAAGAGTCGTTTTGACGTTTTGCGCCACGCTGTTTAAATAGCAAATGCATTTGCGCTTAGATGTGCGCCCATAGGCGTTCTGGTCTAAAAATGGAGGTGTGTTGAGATGCATAGCTGGCGCGTTGCTATTTTAAGAAACTATAATAAATTGTTCAATAGACCAGCCGGTCTAAAGTCCAGCACAGAGCGCATTAGTTGTGCGCCTCACTTACACATTGCTTAATACAGACAGGATGTGCAGCAATACGCAAATATCTTTACATATAAAAAAGAATAAAAATATTAAGGATATATATAGAATATAAATTAAAATAATTAAAATATTACAAAACATTATTTTCTAGCCTACAAAACCAAACTTTCATGTCTTCATCTCGGGGGGTGGGGGGGTGGGGTGGGTTTCAGTTTATTCATAACAATTTGCTTTTGTATAATGTTATCATTACAAGCAGTATTATTTATTATTTGCATATTTATATTTGTTTTATTAAAAACAAGCTTAGATTTGCCCACCTGTCAGGTTTTGGACCATATGACTCTGATTGGCTTATTCTCAAAACACACCTATAACTCATTAAGAACATAAGCTCACCCTTTTAGACCATGTGCCGCGACGCAAAGCGGATTTTTCCGCCCTTAAAATAGCAAAAGTGGATTTGGACACGCCCTATTGCTTTTGTGCCCTACGCTTTGCACTTTGCGCATGGATCGTCAAAAAAGAGCCCTAAATGTTAAAACTGCTTGCCATTGTCTAACAGAATGACTCACCCATATGTAAGTTATCCTCAGCTGGGTCATCGAGAACCTTCAGTTAAATATATCAAATGACAATAAGTTAGCCCACAACATATTTGACATGCATTATGAAACAAAAAATATTGAAGAAACTGCTATATGACTGACCTCAACTAATTTAACAACATTCAGATGGTCAAGTTTCTTTAAAATAGCGATTTCTTGATATACTCGGTCCAGCAAGCCGGACGGCTTTAACAGATTCTCCTGGGATCCCACTGATCCATTGGATTCTCGGGAAGGAGGTCGTCCTGTAATCATCATAGCATTAATATTCCGCAATATGCATTAGAAAAAGTCTTAAAATTAACTAATTTAACACTTACGTCGGAATCCCAACTGCTTTATTAACCTCTTTTTGGATACCAATTTCATAGCCTGCAATAAATAATTATGAAAAAGAATTATATTACAGAATAGAACATTGTTTAACATAATAATGGTTATAATAAGAGACTAAATGCTGACAGATAAAATGAGATGTTTTCAATATAAACATGCTTACATAATACTGGTCATCATCTTCATTATATGCTAACTTGACCACTCCATATGAACCCTGCACAAGATTTACATTATGGTCACATTATGTTTATATTTATGCATTTATGATTTTTACTATGTATGTTTGATATTTACAAGTTTGATGCAAACTCACAAACCTTTCCAATCTCGTTCTTTAACTTGTACTGATTTAGCTGGACACAATCCTGTGGGTAGAAAAAAACTTATATTAGCAGAGTCATAACATACCAATACTGAAGAGCATTAAATATTTAGGAAGTGATTTGTTGTCCAAAAACATATATAATTATATGTTAAGTTAAAAATCTATAATTAAGTTAATTATAATTAATGTATTATGTTTTTTTTATTCTATACATTGTAAAAAATATTCTCCAGTACATTTTACAACATAAATACTATTTAATAAAATATTGTCCAGTACATTTTACAAAAAAAGACTATTTTTTTTTTACAATAAAATATGAAATTAAAGCATAACTAGACATTTATTTGCAGCTGTTTCTTTTAGCAATTTCTAACTAAAAGTTGTTCCTGTTTCCTTTTTGCTTTCAGTGTACTAAAATTTTTATATTTTGACAGCATCTTTAAAATGAATTGCATTAAAATAATATATTTCATTAAAAATTTCAAAATTTGCTTAGAAATTCTCAGGCCATCCAAGATGTAGGGTTTTTTTTTTTATTCTACAGTAGAGCATGAAAGATAATTAAAACTGTATTCCTTTGTGATTCATAAAATGCCAGTCAATGGCTACCAGCGCTTTGAGAGTGAAGAAAAACAACAACATTCATTAATTCATTCATTCATTTCCTTTTCGCCCCTTTATTAATCTGGGGTCGCCACAGCAAAATGAACCGCTAACTTATCCAGCATATGTTTTACGCAGCGGATGCCGCTCCAGCTGCAACCAATCAATGGGGAACATCCATACATGTTCATTCACATGCATACACCACAGACAATTAAGCTTTCCCAATTCACCTGTACCACATGTCTTTGGACTTGTGAGGGAAACCTTTTTGCTGTGAGGCGACAGCACTACCTACTGTGCCACTGCGTCGCCCAACATATGAAAACAAAAATAAAATTAAAACCTGTTGCTCTCGACAATACACTGAGGTCTTAACAATCATTCAATCATTCTGTGAAACAGAAACAATCATTCTGTGCAAAAACTGAACTTTACTTCTACCTATATTCCAAAACCTTGAGTGAATATGTAAATGAGCTTCAGAAAGCAGATAATTTCTGGTTCACATAACCGATTCTTCAAATTGTTTTTACATAATCACGCAATATATACATACAGGAATTATACAGCAGACATAATGACATGACAGACTAGTCATCATTATCACAACCCTTTTAACCCATACAATTTCAATTTCTCTCCATAATTAGTGTTTAGTTCGTGAACACACTTATCACTGGCTCATCAAATATGTTTCCTCAGTTCAGACACAGCTGGATTAACTGGAGCATTCAATGAGTTAGCAATCTGTCATCAACCACATTCTGTTTGTGTTTTTGTCATTTTTATGAACTTTTAGCTTGTATTCCTGTTGGTTTCCAGCATCCTCTATGCATAGTTCCTATAGTTACTCATAAATTGTTTGTAATTTAGTTTGTCATTGTCATGATTTTTAGCTGGAGTACCCACCAAACTCACTAGATCACATATATAGCTCTCATATATAGCTATACGTACACTCCACCAGCCATTCACCCAGACTACCACCCCCATCATGTTTTGCAGGCAATCTGGACACTTAATATACACTACAGCTGATATCAATGTTACACACAGCTGCAGATCCTTTACACTGACTATAAACTCTTTATAAGCACCACATTTACACTCAACCAGTGCTCAGTCTTGTATTACTGTATAGTGTGCTTTACCAAGTTCCTGTCTTTCTGTTTTGTATTTTGGACTTTCTCTTTGGATTTCTTTTGCTAATTTGCTGCAAGTCCCGACCATTGCCTGTCTTTGTGAATTAGTCACATAGGTTATCTTTTATGTACAATTTTTTCCTTTTAACCCTTGTCTGCATGACCATCCTTTCATTTAATAAAGCTGCACTTTGAACTGTTGTCCGTATAATCATAAAAGTCATATTGTGCATTTAAAGTCAAGCATACACAATGCAAATTCACACACTCAATGAGAACATTGCTTGGTCGAAGTGATATACACCATGATTTTATGACCTTTGGCAAATACCGAAGCCGTCGCATGATATTCCATGTCAAAATCAAGCACAGAGGAAGCCACTCACTGTGAAATTGCACGGTGTATGCAAGACTTAAGTCCCTTATTTTGATTCAATCACTGTCTGGTGTTAACTGTGTATGAGTAAAAGCTTAAAATAGCAGATTTTGTTTGTTTTATTTAATAGATTTTTGCAACTTTAAGATCATCTTCTTCATCTTTTTTATGAATAGTGACAGCATTGTTTTGCAAAACGCAAAAGTTTTGTTCCACGTTTTAGAGGACTAATCCTCTAGAGGGCGCTGTCTACATCTTTATAAATCTGAAATACATTATTTGGGGTAAGTTTTGTTGTATGTCCCTAAACTCAACCAATAGTGTTTTCAAAAGCAGATGTGAAAGAATGTTCACTGCGACCATGTAGTTTTACCTTGATTTTAGACTATTTTTATCTGTTTTTTTGTAAAACTGTGCTTGCAGACATGAACTTGAATGCTCTGCATCACAAGTACAACACCGTACAAAGTAACCAACCGAGTAAACTGAACATGCCAGAAAAGTTGTCCATATAGAGACAGATAGGTGAGGCAAACGTATTCAATTACAAAATATCATGGACCTGCTAAGCTATTTTTTATTGAATTGTTGTTGTGCAAAGAAATGCACAGTAAAAATCCTTTATTCGTTGATAGTATATCCCTAAAAATATCTTTAGTGTGAAAAGGAACATAAGTTGTTGGCATCACATTGTCCCTGTAGCATTCATCTTTACCAACACAGGTTCATTCTGATTATGTACCTCTATATACATTTCTGGGGTGTGCAAAATACATCCCAGGTATGTTTTTTTTTTCACATTTTTTTGTTTTTGTGAATGCACAAGAGGCCGCTGTGTATGCTTTTTTTAAATCTCTAATTTCTCTCACGAGTGCCATTTGCGTAAATCCACGAGAGCCTGCTTTCGACTGACTGACTTACTGACTGACCAACCAACCAATATCCCTACCCTCTCCTTTCCATAACACAACCAATATTGTTTCCCTTAACCTAACTGCAGTGTTTTAAAAGGGAATCCAGACAAAGAAAAGCCCAGTTTTTACCACATTTTCAGATTTTACCACATTCTCACACTGTTATTTCCTTTTACTGTATATATATATTTTATTTTTTAGCTTTAGTTTTTGACTTTCCCCCTTTCTGGAACTGATTTTCACTGACTTGAACTCCATTGTCATAGGTCAACTTCTTTCTGCGTATCAAGTCTGCCGATGTACACGTCAAGCTACTGGACAAACTGGTAACAGCGGAAAAGCTGTCTACAGTATATGGAGGTAAGCGGACACCTGGGAAGTGCGGAAAGGAAGGGCGTCATACCACCCCGTAGCGTCTGTTTTAAGGATGAAATGCAGCCATACTTCCTTTTGGCTACATGATTTGCGTTTACCAGAAATGTATACTGGGCTACATTTTCAGAATGAGCCTATGTTAATTTTTACAAAGAAACTGCAGTCAATGGAATGTTTACAATTTACAGTTTCACTAAAATGTAGGCTAAAGCACATATTTCCAATCAGGCTGTGTTGAACAATGTTCAATTTCTTAATTTCCCTATCAACAGCATGTATGCATATTGAATATATTTTGTCTGTAATCATTTTTTGGGATTCTCAAAGTGTGATTGACTTGCATTGTATGAGTCACCAAGGACCACGGTTTCACATAAATACCTGCTTTAATGTTCTACTGAAGGAAAATCCCATACCTCTGATTTGAGTGAATACAGAGATTTTCTTTTTTGGGTGAACCATCACGTTTAAAAAATCCTACAGAAGTTTTTTAGATAGTCAACACAAATCTAAAAGAATTCCCGCTAAACTTACGTCTCCATCAGAAATAGACACACGCTTGGACTCAATAGTAGGTCTTCTGGCCATTCGTGGACCTCCATTCTGGCAGCTGGATCTCTCCTGCAGGGAAAGCTTCCGGTCGGACAGGTTGAGGCGATGTGGTGTGGTCCTGTACCCGTTTGGTGGGGTCAGTCTGGTGGCAGCCACACTCATGGCTGCCACCATGTCCGCCAGTTCAGCATGATAATCAGAGTCTAGATCCAGTCTGCTGGCTGTGTCAGCACTCATGGCTGTCCTTCCTCCTGTCTGTCTTCGCAAATTATAAGAAACTACACATCTCAGTGGACATCACTGAGTCCAGTGTCTTCAGAGGGGCCGTGGTCAAGTCAAGCTGGAAAAGCAGAGCAAGAGAATTGTGTTTAACAAGCACATTTCTCAAGCACAAACACATCCATCTCTTTACACAACAGAAGTGAGGGCCACTGTATAATTTTTGCGCTGCCGAAAAGCCAGTTGAACTTTTTTTTTTTAATTCTTTGGCAGTTTGAGAAGTACTCACAGATGATTGCTATAAAAACAGTGCTCACTTTTCTGCAGAGCAAAAAACGATACGCTGGTCATGTTTCATTTAAACCTGAATGTGTTTAGCTACAGCTCATGTTTAAAAACAACACTGTTGGGTTATGCTCATTTTTTAAAGTCCCCAACAGTTTAACAACTGAGTTTTACCATTTTTGTATCTATTCAGCCGATCTCCTGGTCTGTCTGGAGCACATTTAGCTTAGCTTAGCTTAGCATAAATCAGATTACTCAAAAAATTCTAAAGCATGACTCTTCTGTAGTTACATTGCATACTATCTGATTCAATGAACTATGCCAAGCTAACGCATGTGCAGAGATCGACTTAATGGATTTAAAAAAAAACTTTAAAAATGGACTTGTACAATGAGCCTATTTCCAAAAAATAGGAGTGTTTCTTTAAATTGAGTAAACTGCTATAAGCCTGCATGAACAGAAATTGTAAAATACTTTAATTTGTGGTTTTATTAATGCAAAAATACCTAAATTAATAACTGAATTTGCGGTCTTGTCTGATTGAGGTGATAATTCCAGCTAGTTTCCAAGACAATTTTTATTATATTATTCATTATCAGATATTGAGAAAACTAAAACTAATTACTTGAAATAAAATGAATTAAAACAATTTATAAACGTAAATAAAAGTTTTGGCAGAAATTCTTACTATATTAACTAACTATAGACAACAACTTAAACTAAAACAAAATAACAAACTAAAACTATAACAAAAAACTAAAACTTATAAAAAACTACCTTAAAAACTAAGTTTCTAGTTGCTGACAAACTAATATTTACAATTTCATTTAGTTTAAGTTGTTGTACTACTAAAAAGACTAGAAAACAAAAAAACAGCAACAAAAAAAATATAGTACTTAGTAAAGTACTTTTTCTTTTGGGATAAACCACTAGCTAACCCTTGTGTACTGTTCAAATTTACAACACCTTCATTATGTTATTGGATGTTTTTGCCCCATTGACTTTCATTATAACTATGTTTTTGGATTGGAAAGCTTTAAAACCAAAAATCATGCATTCTTAATTGTTGCCGGATTACCCTGTTGGGAGGAGGTGAAATCTGTATTTTTTTACTGTCGATCATAAGTTGGCTCCATTAATGCTTTAAATAGGCCTGTACAAAAAATCTTCTGACTTTTAATGGGATTCTTTGGAGTAAAACAGCAGTATGTGTGTGAAAAAAAGTCACTATAATGAAAGTCAAAAACAGCCACTAAAATAATGGAAGGCTATTATATTTTCCCACAGTAGTTAGGTTGAGTTTTTGAAATTGTACAAAGCATTTTCCTAAAATATGTGTTAAAATAAGATTTTTCTCTAAAAATAATTCAATTTGTTGAACACAGAGAATGATGTGGCCAAATTATGACTCAGAATCCCCCCAGAGCGGATGAAAACATCCCCAACAGCACACATGGGTTAATAATGAGAATGGTTACTCAAACTAAAGTGCTACTCCTGAGTTTAATAACATCAATATCTTATATACAACAGACCTTCGTGCAACCACAGCGAATCAGAAATTTCTACATATAAAAAAACCCCCACATAACATTATAAAATAAGTGAATAGAATCAAACAAAATGTTATTTATCCACAATTTTCTACTTACAGGGATGCAGAATAGTCAGTCACAGTGTTGCATGCTGGGCCGTTCATCAGACAGAAACCCCCTTTGAAACCTGGAGGACTGAAGACTCGCTGGATCACACAAGCAAAGAGGATTAGCGGGCCGGCCGGTCACATTTAGTCCAGCGTGGCTATATCTGCTCCTGTTTACATGAGCCGCCTGCAGTCAGTGAGAAGACGGGAACATTCATCAATGAGCTGAGCTGCACGTCACAGCAGAGGAGAGGACATGTGTGGTAATACCTGCGTAAACCCCCACCACGAGGACTGACACGCTGTTTCTGAAGCTGGGGTTGGACATACACAGTAAAATAAATGGGAAAAAAATGAGTGAAAAGTTGAGTAACACCATACTTACACAGTTAAGTCATTACACTAAAATTGACAAAGAGTTTATTGATTTGTATTACAAGCTTTTCACAAGTACTAAAATGTTGTTTAAATATGCAAATAAGGCATTTTTTTATTGTAACATGTTTATTTAAAGTTATTATAATGAATGCACAATGTGCTTTTACATACATAATCAAAGGCAAGTTTTACAAAAAAATGTGCAATGGGTTATAGAAATTATAATAATCCTTAAAAATAAGAAAATAAGCCAATAAGTCAATAGATAGATAGAGGTAAGGAAAAAGGAGAAAAAAAGGAAAACATCATACCATCTAGAAATACTATTAAGTAATATTGGTGGCCAATTAGTCACAAAGTCTCTGGAAAGGCACATAAAATATATATTTTCCACATAACAGCACAGTCCTATAATATAGACATATAAATTGAAAAAAGAAAGAACATTAGAACAAAACAAAAAACAAAATAAAACAAAAAAACAAACAACATAAGACCATTGCCTGTGAGCTTCCTACAACCCTCCTCCTTCTCCAAAACAAAACAAAAAAAAGCTAATTGACACACAAAACCATTTCTCTCACATGTGAGGGCAGGTGATCTATAAAAGGAGACTGTATTTTGAAAATTCTATGTTATCATTAAGCACAGCTGCAAGACTCTTATGGGGCAAAACTGCAAATAAACTGCTGAAGAGAAGATTTATCTAAACTCAATGCAAGAAAAAAATATAAAAATACGCATAAAAAAAACTTAATCTTAATCTTTTTTTTTCTTTACAAATTAAGGTCAGTTGAACATAATTAACAATTAAGTTGTCCCCAAGAAGCCTTAAGAATGGTGTTTGAACTAATTTTAAATAAAAAGTTTAAAAAGGCAGCAAAAGTCATTTGTGAGTATGTATTGTAAGACGTATAGGACAAGTTACTTTAAAAACGAATTATTTATCTTTTCTAATCACATCATTTAAACAGTATTTAAGTGACTTTTCCATTTACTTTGTCTTGAATCACTTTATGTAATACTAATTAAAATCTCTATAAATATCAACACATACTCAACAGATATTCAACTTTTTACATTTGAGTCAAACCCGTTATCTTTTAGTAAATAAAATAGAAAAACCATAAGAAACAGTATATGTAAAGTTTCAAAAGTAAAGACAGCATATTTCATATTGAACACTGTATATTTTTACTAATATCTTAATTATTTTTGTTTAAAAACCAAGTTATGCAAAATATCTAAACTATTACATTATATTATATTATATGATATTTGATTTTATTATATTATAGTCATGAATTAATTTCTCACTCATTTTATGATAAATGTGACTTTGATAACAAAAATAGAAATTATTTTAATATTTGTATAACAAAAATACAATTATTCCAATTAAACAGCCGAAAATCTCAAAACTGACCATTGCATGAAAAAAAAACTTGTTTTTTTGTTGTTGTTTTTTAGATGCTTGCTTTTGCCTGAAGTGTCTTGCCTTAATTGGTTAAGTTGTTGAAGCTCTTAAGTAATCATCATATAACAGAGAATGGGAGAGATCGAGAGAGAGAGCGAGAGAGAGAGAGAGGGAGAGGGAGAGAGAGAGGGAGAGAGAGAGAGAGTTTATCAGGTGGGAAAGAAGATTGCATAAGATGTTGCATAAGCTCATAGAGGATGTGCCACTGGACATCAAGACTGGCTTTAATCCAAAACAAAGGCACTTTTTAAAGAGGATGTCAATCTCTTTATGTTCATATATTGTCTGTTTTGCATGTTTATGGAGTTTGTCAATCATCATGCCCATCAACTGACCCGACAACCGCTACTGAAAGTCACTTTGTGGTACCATCTAGAAAGCAGCACAAAATACATTGCAAGGTCATCGGTCTTCAGTGTTCAATACTAGTGGAATGAGTCTCTGACCGTTCTCAAGAAACATTTGAAGACTTTCTTGAAATAATTGTTCAATCCACTTTAATTTGCGAAAAACTATCAAGGTAACTTAATCGATTTGTGTTGGGACAACATGAAGGAATTGTGTGGTACCTAGCATTTTTTACACAATCACTTAAGTAACCAACCAATATTCTGCAATACTGATTGTGCTCCATACAGGTGAGAGGTCCTACAAACCACCTGTAGGACACACTCTCTCATCTCTGTATGCTCAGTTTAAATTTAGTTAAGTTAAAAATAACTTGTCATAGTATTTATACGGAAACTCTCTGATGATCTTGTAAGTCGTTTTAAATAAAACCGTCAGCAAAATCAGTGGTTCCCAAAGTGGAAGTCGGGACCCTCTGGGGTGAATAATATTTTATTCATAACCTACAAAAGACCTACAAAAAGATACAAAAGATAAAAATAGTATTTAATAGTTGCATTAAAAGACAACAAGCAAATAAAAAGCTATCAGGGGTTATTAGGCTAGATTAATGACACAGCAATAGTGTTGGTTGCAGCAGATTGATTTTACAGCACATTGTTAAACCTTGACACCATTATGGCACTCACGTACAATAACACTACAGACCACAACTAAACATAGAGGACGATCTCCAAGTCTTTAAAATTAATCCAAGAATAGTCTTGTTCTGTAAACATTTTGCCCAGCACCATTCTCATTAATTAAAGTTAATATTACATTAAACGAATAAATGATGACTTTAAAATATATGGTTGTTAGACTGTTGCACTTTTTGTGTTGGCAATAAGTCATTTTACAGCCCTTT